GTGAAGGGCTGTTTCTTCTCCTCATGGCTGTTGTCGCTATCTCATTGTTACCATTCTTAAAGCTGATCTCGCTTGACTTTCGTAACATTCCTCATCCACCTTCTTCATCTCTTTAATCCTCCTTTCCATCAGTATCGATTTTGAACCTACCATGGGGATTAGGTAGGCACGCAGTTTAAGTTGCTTCATGTCACTCGCACTTCCCATTCTGTGGGGCGTTATCAAGCAGGGAAGACAAACATCGCCATCATCTCCTAATCTTATAGAAGGAACCCAGGTTCGGTGTGGAAGACATGTTTGAGATGAGATGTTATGTGTATCAGAAACACCTGTCACTTTCCCCCCATTGAATTCCTGTCATGACTGTGTTGGTGCTTTTCATCTCTACACCCCCACCCATCTTAAAGACGGTTTCCCAACATCCTTCCATGCAGACACTCCCATTCTCGATGTCCTTGATGATCTTTATCCCATGGAGTTGAAGTTGAACCGACATGTCAGGAGAGCAGTGTTTCGGAGACCGATCGGCAATTTGAATCACATGGCCGACATGGTTCGAGTGATAACCGCCTTGAGTGAAAGATGTCCACTAGGGAGTTTTGGTCGTCAGGCTCAACCTCCCTTGGCGGTCGTTCTCCTATATTTAGCTTCTTGATCACTCTCAGCTGTCAATTGATCCCTATCGACAAGCTTAATGAACCCCAGTGATTTGATTCAATTTAAAGAGCGTCTGGATATCTATCCGGGGTTGTAGCCTGTTATGAATGAAGGATAACCCACCACCTCATTTTTGGTCAACGGGTTGCACCTCCCTTTGCTGATTTTGTCTTTTCATTCAGTGTCATCCGTGTCAGTCTCAACTTGCGATCAACCGGGAGACGTCTCACTGTGTGCAGTCTCCTGCTCCGATTTGGGATTAAGCAATCAGTCCATGTTATATGTCTCGAGCGTGGCTCAGGTGGTACACTGATGACATTGTTCGTTTTCTTCTCATCACATTCTTTATCAAGTTCTGGAAAGAGATGGAACATCTGTCAAATTCCACGGCTCTTCTGCCGACCTTTCACCTCTCCACTCGGCATGTTCCATGTCGCTGTCCATTTGGGACAGAGCTGAAACAATTGTGGTCGGCTGCAATTGCTCTTCTCTTCTTGAAATTTTTGAATCAGTACGGATAGAAGATGGCGACTGACCGACCGAGCTGATGCTTAGATCATATTTTCTGTTCCTTTTTCGTCGTGTAGTCTCTCAAGGCTCCCGAGAAAGACAAATATTTCTTAGCCTGTGAGGTCCAGCATCCCTTGGCTGGTCTTTCTCCTTCTGTTCAGCTTCAGTATCTATTAGAATAGGTGTAAATTTATCGCACCACCTTATAGACGCCTTGATGATCCATTACTATGACCGTCCCATGCCGATGTTGGGAGTAGAAGTGTCCATTGGCCACATAAATCCTCTTCATCTCTTTTATATATTTCGCCCAAATCCGCAGTGCTGTGAGATTCACAGCTACTACTATACCCGCATGGTATTCTACCACCATCTCATCTTATCAATATGTTCCCAGCATCGCCGAGTCTGAGGGCATTTGCAATATCGGTCTCATAATGGGAGACGGGACTGAAAGTCCTACGAACTTCTCTCCACGTCCGAGGCGAAGTAAATGAAGAATAGGTTCACACTGCATTCCACACTAGCAGGTTGTCCACTGGCAAGAGGTAAATCGATGGATTCCGAATATTTGCGAACAACCGTGGTTGCCTTCTGCTTTTTAGGATATGTCAACCGCGAATAGAGAATCCGATTGATTGAAGTAATCCTTTCTGGATCTTCTTCCCATTTCTTTCTTGTCAAGTCCGGCTTCGGTTCCCAGAGAGAGACAGATAATGAACTGTCTGTATACTTCATCTTGTGCAACGTGCAAGCAAAGTTGTCAAGTAGGTTGGCAACCGTCATGGCGAGCAGCGCAGCTCAACATATGAACCATACCAGAACAGCCATAGCGAGTTTGCATCTTCCTAATAAGTTACGTCTTCTGCATATGGATCACAATTTGGAGATGATGAAAATATGGACCGTGTCTCGCTTCTTTCAGGGTATCATTTATGCCTTTGAAATTGTTATATAGTTCCAACGGCAATCAGCCGGCGCAGCCGACGCAAAAACCACCACAGATTTGATGCTTGTGACTAGCAATTTGAGGGATTCAAAGTACCATTCGGACTTGTCACGATCATCTGGAGAAATAGAGGCGCTGTACCATTCGGGTATCTTGACTAGTTCGCGAGCGTTTCCCGACATACCCACATGGGTCTGGTCGGTGGGCATCATATATATTGCGCTTTTAGCATTGATGACACAAAGCAGATGCTCCACCATCCATGAAGCCGTTTATATGACACCTGAACTATCTCAGGTCATCTTGAAATTCGCTCATTCTGCTCAGTAGACGCCGAGATTAAGCGGGACGAGCAATGGAACGAGGTGGGAAGTACCTTTCCCAGAGCATCTTGCTCATCTTACTCTATCGGTGAGAACGACACTATGGCAAGAATGATTAGGTAGTTCGATTCATTTCCTCTGATGGTGTTTCATGTTGTCCTGCGTGGATGTTGATGAATACCAGAAACAGAGAATTGCCACTCCACGGATATGTTCTCTGAGAGTCAAAGGACAGAACGGGAGGAACGACAACACACGACAGTAAGCGCCTGGTATTGTGGACGATGGTTCCAACGGCAGAGTGGCGTTGATAAGGATCAACATAGCCCACCAATGAATTTTCCGGCAAACTCTCGGTTGATTGGCAGTTGCAAGAACACGGATCAACTCCTTGGTGTGCCCGTATATATGCCCACTGGCTATCATTGCCTTCGGCCGCTGCGTCAATTGAAGGAAGAACAATAGCAAGGATGCTGCCGCGATTATTTCCGGGCTCCATTGGTAAAGGTTCCATTAGGAAGCAGTTAAGCGAAAAAGCTAACTCACACTTTCCTCTTCGTTTCCCGGTTTCCTATCCGGCGTGGATCTGACCCAGGGGTTTTTCTTGGGCGGTATATTCAAGGAGCAAAACTGAAGCATAGAAAAATGCGCCATTTCGTTGCATCTCGGAAAAGCTCTCCTAATGTCGTTATTGTGTAATGTTACTCGTTAGTTCTTCCTTCTGTCTCTGTTCGTAACCAGGCATTACAGCCCTCTTCGGGATGCACTGTGCACACCATGCATCTTGTGTTCTGGTCACTGCTCGGACTGACAGGACGTCGAACCTCTTCCACATCGGTAAATACCTGGGCTTCGTTGAAGCTTCAGGCACAGTGATATAACCATAACGCCCACATGGTTCCTTCAACCAATAGCCACCACCACATCTATCGACATCACAAGGGGAAACCCGAGAGTCACGGCCAGGTTCACCCGCCGTAGCATCAGCGCGACCCGCATCGTGCAAGGGTCAACATTCGATTAGTTGTCTTCACTCAAATGCCGCTAATGACTTCTAATACCACCCTTCAGTAGGCATCAAAGACATCCGATGATGTCTGGCTGACACCCAGATCTATCCTGAGCTTGTTGAGTTACTTTCCATTGAATAGGTCTTCTGACACCCTTGCTCTTCCACCATATCCAAGGAAAGCATACTGAAGTTTTCATTGTTCTCCTCTCGACCATGCATGTTTCGGGGTATAGATCCAGTACTTGTTCAGGACCCGTTGCATTGTTATTGATTTGGTGTTACCATTCCACCTCATCAACGGTTTCATGGCTTGAGCTTTCGGTATCAGTTCTGAAACCAACAAAGAAGAAATGAAAGGATCCATAGACAGATTGTACTAAATAGCTTTCATTTTGCTCTTGTGCGACAGATGGTGGCTTCTGCTGAACTGAGCAATTCTTCACATCGAGTACCATCTCCCTCTGAACACGACGAGTCTATTCTTCTTGGCTTTCTGGTGTTCTCCATGTAGAGTTCCTTTCCCGAGTGCGCTGTGCCGGTTGTTAGCTTGCTGGCGCCGCAGCACACCCAGTATCATGTTGGGTGACTTACTGTTGGCCATCGGCCCCCGTCAACGGCATTTAGTAGACATATTGTTCATTTATAGTGGATTTCCGCCTCTCTCTTCCCATGACTGAATACACTGCATCCGGTGTCATTTCCACACTCTCACATACGGTAGCGCAATCTGTCACCAAGATTAGATCATGACCTTACCATCAACAAGCCCAGCCTGCCGCATCTCCCCTCCGAGAAAAACAGCCCGACACAGCAACCCACTCGTTGGTGATAGAAGAGTAGACTACCCAATCAGGCAGTTTCATGTCCGGAATTTCATAGCATAACACAAAAGCTTAGGATATAGATCTGTTACCATGCCTCTCGCAGCAGCTGAACAGCTCAATTGAGTAGACGGTTGCGTACACGCGGATGGCTGTTGAAGAAAATCTGAGTATAGAGACCATTTTGCGGTGTGCACTTGGAACGTGCGTTTGTGTTGAGATCCTTTTTGTCGCGATGGTGCCTAATACCACATATCGTCGTGTGCTTAATCTTGTGGTGGAATGTCTCTCAAGTCACATTAAGTCCCTGGCTATCCTCTCTTCGACTCGAACATAGAGTCAGTATATAGTATCGTTCTAGCCAAGTATAGCCTTGACCCGGCGTGCATTTTCTTCGGATAGCGTTCTGGGCGTATTATCATATATTCCTGACGAACAGGTCCTTATCAGACCAGGCTCAGGCGAACCATTCCTCTTACGATGGACGCTCTGGAGACGGAGATGTTCCATTCCTGTGATGTCCTGCTGGGCATGACCTCAATAATAGCAGCAACATTATATATATAGGTGGGATCCCTTTTCTGACACAGACACTTGATTCGGGTATCACACGATAAGAGGCCGCCATGGTGTCAGCCTGTTCTCTAGTGCCCCAAGTTTTGAATATAACAAACTTCGAAGCCATCATAATATGAGGAGTATGTCAGATTCGACGCGGCGCACTCACACAGTAACCCGTTAGAAAGGCGAATGATAAAGCTTCATAAGGATGAAATATCGGTGATAGGCATCGTAATTAATTGAGTTAGACTGCTTTTCAGCCCTTCGAGTGCTCGAATGTCCATTTTTAGTGAGTTGGGACCTCGAACTCTGGCCCTGACCCGTCGGCAGATGCTGCTGAATGTGTCAATGAACCGACAATGTCGTACAATTGTGGATGTCCCTCTCATAGATGTCCCTGGATCTTTCGCAGAGCCCCAAAGCCGGGCACCTGCGGTAGGACGACGATCAGATAGTTGGAAGCCAAGCTGTCCAGTCCGAACCGGAAACTGTGTTGAGCTTTCGCGCCAGCTCTCCATTTTCTGGAGGCGGTATTCTTTCCGTCTCAACGCTAGACAGAGTCTCACGGGTGGTAGGATTGGTTCTGTTCAGTATACGGCAGTTGTCAATGATCTTCGTTTTGGAAAAGGGAGTTAAGTGAGTTCATACCTGGCAGTGATGTTCCCTGGACTGTAGCGTCTGAACCATCCTGATCCCCTCGCTTGGAGTTGAGGATCCGGCACATTGCGAAACGACCAATCAGGTTTCTGTTGCGGTGCAACTGGACGTTTTGTTGGCATCGTCGTTGTACTGCAAGGAGCTGGACACATGTTGATTTGTTTGAAATCTCGTCCGACGAGATATACTCAATGAAAATTGAATCAAGGGAGTGCAGTTCGCACTCTCCAACGTACTTTCTGTTAATTGGGTAGTCTGACTTTCAAGGTGCCAGAAGGCATTTCAACAAAGCCAGAGGTCTGATGTCGCTTTGGTGACCACTCTGGAGGCACGCAAATCTATTTCCGCTTCCATGACAGCGATCTCACTGTGTCTTGAGTATATAACCCCGAGTCGGTTTTCGCATGAGCAGAGTCCACCGTCGGCAACCCAACAATCGTCGCCCACTCATGATATTTACAAGCCGAATGAATTGCGCGTCTTCATCCTAGCATCATCATAACTGTAAATATGAAGTGTTGTTTCTAATTGGAACAACATGTTGTCGAGATGCTGCAAGGGAATGTCCACATAGCGAATTTTGCGCTGCTTCGGTATGATCAGACTAGAGAACGTTCTAGAGCTCAAACAAACCGAGGCTGAAGTGCGCAAGAGACTATCACATAAGCCCCATCGCGATCTTCCTTCTGCTGACCTAATCGTGCCTGGGTCAAGGGCAGGACATGATTAGAAAGCGCGTCATCTATATTGAGGTCGCGCGAAACAGTCGTTTTCTCTCCATGCTCACCGTAAAATGATATATAGTCAGTTTGAGGTATATTTATAACCGGGCCAGGTAAACGGCAGCACCATGGCCGTCCGCGTCGACGTTCGGGAGCGCGATCGAATGGCAGCAGAAGCTTTGTCGAATCATTCTGCCCGGAGAATCAGCGTCGACAAGTTCTCGCGCGCGTCATGTAACTCCTCACAATTTATTATTATAGCCACTCAATGAGTCAAATTAACAGGAGTTCCAGCCATGCAGCTAGCAACTCCGTCCTCGCCAGTACGGTAGCGGTGGAATAGTGAAATGCGCGTTGCAAGATATCCGCGACGCCTGCCCTTGTCCATACCCATGGCGGATGCAATAGCATCCCATCCCAACCATCCTACCTGCCCCGTAACTCCCAGCCCTCTGAGGCGGATCGATCTATCGCTGTACCACGGGACAATGGTTCTTGTGACTGGACATGCACGTTTCAAAGACCACAAAATCCATGGATTCTTCGCACACAAGGTGGTGTCAGCACATTTTCCAGGTCAGAGAATGCCTCTTTAGTTGTTGTGAGGAAGTTGAAGACATAGTTTTCTCCTGGAAGATTCACCTTCTTACGCGCCCTCACTTCGAAGCTTCTGGTACCATATTGACGCATCCTTCCCACAACTTATGGGAATTTTCTCCGTACCTAGATTTTTAACAAAACCAAACACCGGTGGACGCATTGACAAGCCCATGATGATTGAGGGGGTCAACGGCAACATGCCGTGATACCTGTCTGCCGACATTCTTCCCATTCCGTGTATGACAGATTCGAGAATCAGTCTCTTTCTGCTCCCCGTAGCGCTTTCGGCGACTGTCTGCGAAGTATCAGGGACTCAGAAAACACGACGGATTCCCCCGCGAGATTGCGCTTGCAATGATCTTGCGCACGTATTCAGCATTACTCGTAGTTGTGTCACGATCTCATTCGTCACCTGGTGCTTTCGAGAAGATCCAGAGCGAGAACTTGACGAACGCAGTAGTGCAGCTTCATACTACTGAACAGCAAGCCGGAATAGTATAAAGACACAATTGATCTCACGCTGAGGTGTATTCCGTTGCATCCTTCAGGCTGTATTGGAAACTTCAGCGGCACTGGAAAGGCCGATTGATCGGAAAGGGCTTGGAGACATTTCTTCCTGGTTCAAAATTCCTTTGACGTCCGGAAAATTGTATGTAGTTTCTCTTCATCCGATGTTTTGGCTTTGGATAGGCCTGTCCTTCTGGAGATGCACGTCATCTGACCAGCTTCCATATCTTGCGTTTCTGCAGGAATATTTGTGTTCGGCTCTCAAATCACTGGACTGAGCTTTTAGTTCTATATTCTCCAATCCCCTTCATTTCGTATAGATATTCATGGATCCCACCAGCCAAAGCAATTTCAATTTCGGTTTCGACTTTGGATCTTGGAATTGATGCTAGGAGGACCTCGTTGGCTCTGTTGCTCGATCAACTACCCCTGGATAGGCAGCTGGTAGAACATCATCTATTCCTGTCGATAGAAAGTACAGCAATCGGGAGAGGTTGTTGATTCAACCTTCCCCCTTTCTTTGAGAGAGGAGTTCAACCGGAATTCCAAGTGTGCTGATAGATGGGTTCATAAGCTGAACTGCAACATGTACAGCCTCTCGACTCATGCCCAGAGGAGAGTGAAGATGTTGATTTTGAGACACATATATGAAGATCGTGTGTGTGCGTTTCAATGTTAGATGCCATGGCGCTCTTCATGACCGATGTATTTGGGATTCGTCGTTAGCTGCGATAAATGAGACCGAAGTAGGCTGATAGCCCAAGTCACCAGAGACAGTCTTCTTGTGTGTGCGACATTCGGCGTGGAGGTAGAACTGCTCCATCGGCGCCTGGTTTGTTCGTACACCTTGGCTGCAGTGATAATAGACAATAGAGTGTGACACAGGCCGAATTCTGAAGACCTTCTATGATCCTTGACGGCTGGGCAGAAGTATTGGTCTTGATCATCGGTATCTTGCAATCATGCTTCTTTTGTTGTGGTCATTGGCGCATTCCGCAGACACTTCTCCATCTGATCATCTCCATTGACTGAAGTGTCACAAATGTTACCTTTATTCGAAGCGGCTTCGAAACACACAGCCACTTAGGAAGACCGTTTTGTTCGAACCGGCATTTTGAAGATCTGGGTCAAGTACCTCAATCTTTGCTATTGTACAAAAGCCCATATTGAGAGATGAGGTATGAGTTCACGCTTTCTTGTCCTTCCTTAAATGATACTTCGTCGGTGAGTTCCCGACACATATCTGCCGTTTGATTGATTGAAAGTAAAGACCGCAGATCCTCAAAAGTCAACAGCACAGTAGATCTAGACGGCAACCCGGCAGCGAGGGAGTCCTTCAGGCGCGGAGTGCGCTTGCCGTCAAGACAATATGCGGATAATTTTGTGCGGGCGGATGAGAGAGTTGAACTCTAGTGGCCGGCAGTCCTTACAGCCACCGACCACCCCGCGAAAGCCCGCAGGGGCCATGGCCATGGCGCTGATATTTCCCCCCATACCTGGATGGGAATTTTGTTTTCCCAGTCAGAGAAGATAGGGTAAATGTAATTCCACAGTGGACTTCTGCTTTGCCGTGTGCATGTCTACTGTGCTTTCCTTGGAACGCCAAAGATCGTCTGCCTTACCAGTCTTTTCTTCGATTGGAACTCGACTCCACTCAGTCGAAGGGGTAGCTGTCATTCTCCCATCTGGAAATAATCGTACCAAGTGATTCGGCCAGCGCGGTCGGTCGATTGGCAACTTGTACACCTTGGCTTGCTAGTGGGGCGCAGTGGTTCCAGGAGAAAAACACCCATAGACAATACAGTCATGTTAATAATCCATAGCTCTTGAACCAGCTTCTCAAGGCGATGTCACGTTTCGTGGAATCATCAAGGAAAGGGGCAGTCTGCAGCTGGCGGTGATTACCGAGCCTTTGCCTGCATTTAAGGGCATCAGCAGGTGCTGAGCAATTGTTTCTCAGGAGCTCAATCTGCGGAAATCAAAGTCCTAAATCTGGCAGCTCGGTCGTATCCTTCTCCGTATTATCATCTTATATATCTTGGTCATTGGGTAGACATTTGTCCAGAGAAATGAGCTGTCAGTGGTAATAGTAAGAACCCTCTTCTATTGTCCTTGACAAGTTCTCTAAAATTTCCCGCCATTGCGTTCTTCTCAGCCTCCGTCTTCCGGTTTGTAAGTCTTGCGACATTTGGCTTTCTTGGGATTGACGGCTTTTCACTGTATCCAAGTCTGCATGAAACAGGGAATTCCAGCTGGGAATTTTGGTCTTTCTGTGCAGGTGAAGATTGACTGCGGATACTATTATACATCAGTGGGCTCAGTTTGAGTTAGTGGAACGAGTGATCCATTCATTCAATGTAAGGTCATGATATCCAGAAAGCAAATTCCCGGGTTGTCCAGCAGCGGCAAATCCAGTCAACGAATGGCCACATGAAGTGGCCAACACCATGGCTGGCTTTGAATGATTGCAAAGGATTTTATCTCATGGAGATAGCAAAGGGGGCCAACAACATGAGGTGAATGAATTTCAGGAGCAGACACCTCTGGACGATCACAGTACGGAGCCCAGTGCCTTGGGAGCATGTCGGTTCAGGAGACAGTTCTGTGATCAGAGACATGTGACTTTGCTTGAAGCAAGCAGCCATGTATTTGACCAATATCACTTTCGTCCCACACACACCGTGAAGCCGGTGATGTCTACACTTCATCACCTGGTGCAGTCGGACATCATTAGAAGCCCATGGTGTGCCTCATGCCGGCTGTTATGGGATGCTCTCTTTCCATTGAGACAGCCTGGAGAACCTCTTGCCCAGGTTATGAAAGCCTGTGCTATTGAAGGGCGTGGTCTTCGGACCCCTCCGCCAGTTCTCTGTTTCACTGAGTATTATGAACTCCGCTATGTTGTCCGGGGAGCTGGGGTAAGGCGTGGCCGACATGAGCCAGACTGCATAAGTGCTGTTGTACCCAGAAAAACAATCACTCCTTGCGACCGTTCCCAGCTGTTTCGTTTATCTAAACGCACGCGTGCCATGATAGGAAGGCCTGGGTCGTCGAATGGGTTTGCGAAAGAGGAAGAGGCCAAGGGGATCCCGTGATCATGAGCAAGCATACTATTAAATCGAGTAGCTGCCTCCGCGATCTGGAGCTTCGTAACATGTTTCTTAAGCAATCCAGAAAGTATCTTATGGCTGTTTTCAGCACTGGATAAGTCCGATATGAACAGACATGTGGCATGGTGCCTCTTCTCGATGGTTATCCTGTCTGTTTCTAAAACCTTCCTGCTCTCATCGGATAATCATCGGCCAACTGGCAATCGTCCATAACCGGGACAAGCTGCT